AATATGATCAAGGTAGAATTGGTAAATCGAAAACCGTTAGAACTAGTTTAATTTCATAAAACCGACGATTGATTGCATGTTAGATAAACCTTAGGATACTTGTCTTCATGTAGCCGTAGTTCATAGGTAGAGCATGTAGTTCAACTTGAGTCGATTCCATGTTAGTTAGGCTAGAATTCGCACGTTTAGGTGACAATCCTTAGAAATCTAGCTCAATATGGCTGTTCGAAAAGATGGTGGTGAGTCATTATCATCAGAGTGTTTCTGTGAGATTTGTGCAGAGAGAAAAGAGGCCAAAGAAAAGTTCAGGATCTGGACCGTGTCTTCTCACACCTTTTTCTCTCTCTGCATAAGCCGGCTTGTGGAGACCAAAGTCCTGGAGATATCAAAGGAGATATTGCTTTCTCCGCAGCTTCAATAGCTGTCCTAATAATGTCGGAATCCTATGAAATTTTGATGATTTCAAAACTATCTTTGGTACTAATATTTACTATGAAATATGCAAATGGTAAAATTTTGTGAATGTTATAAATGTTCCTCTTGTATAAGTAAGGACGAGAAACTAGGCTGTGACGTGTGAGTGAACAAGTACCAATATGAGTGGTATCTCATGGTAGCTTGGAAGGATCAATCGAGCTAGCATTCTTCGAAGTCCTTGGCACTGATGAAGATGGAAAGATCATTGATGTGCCGCCCCAGAACGTCACTCGTGACACATGTCCTTTTCAATAATACTCATAATTATTATTAGCACGCGGAAGCGCAATAAACACATCGCACGAGAAACGTAAATTTGAATAGTATACATATTCACTTTTCCATTGCCTTCCCTCTTCCAAGTATTAATACAAACCAGAAAGACATCAAAGCACGTCAAACTCAGGCCATTCTCACTCAGAAATGCGTCTTCTACCATATATTGTTCTCTCCATTGCTTTGATCGAGGGGTTCCTGTTTCAAAGGTTTTTAGAGTTGGAGTTTGGAGATGGTGGATGTGGGCTTTGGGTTTCGGCTTGTTTTGCTCGGCTTATGGGCTGTTTGTTGTTATTGAGAGACAAAAAAACTAACATGAATGTTTGGTCAAGTCGATATAACCCCCAGCTATCTATTTATAATAAAGTTAAAAGGTCAAAATTATAATATCAACTTTATTGCTACCATACATAAAATAATAAAGGAAATAGATAAATATGCCCCCATCGGCCATAACAGTTCACGAACTCCACGTGCTATCGCACGAAACTCTGCTTCGGAACCAAACCAAGCAACCACATCCTAACCGGGTCAAATGATTTAAATGAAAATTAAAATGGGCTTTTCAAGTCTAGATCGCTCAGTTTAAATTCGAAATTTGGCTCCATATTTGATGGTGATAACTGTTCCACCCTAAGGAGCTCGATGCAATAACTGTTTGACTGTAATTGTTAGCCTACACCTTCGGTAACTATTTGCTCCTTAGAGTTTGACTACAATAACTATTCCATTATTTTTATCCTTGCTATCGATTTGGTTTCAGCCAGATCTTGTGAGTCGATGTCAATGCTTCTCGACTCTCTCAATTCACACTGGCTTGATTGATTTTAACTCCGCTATTAGTAAATAGATAACTGTTGCCATTTTGTCAACTTGATATTATTGGCTTGTCACAATGAATACTGGTGTTCACAATCAATATGGGATTACATGTGCAAGTCAACATACCGTTTACTCCTTCCTTGTTGAAGCCCAACATATTGTACTAATCAATCAACTTGACTTTGTTTAGTCAATGACTCTGCTTAATCATGACTACCCGACTTAAGAGATTCCTCTTTTTCTCAATGGTCTTAGAATTTTCTCATTAACATTGGCCCAAGTTAATATCATATTCAAAGTCATAGTCGAAGTATGATTAATGGCATTAATTATAATTAACTTCAGCTCTTTGACATTGTTACGTGTATTTGTGCAAGGTTGTGGCCGCCAAAAGTTCAATGGTTTCAGTTAGTGATTAAGGTCCAATCTAGGATGATCGATGGCCAATTAAAGTGTCAAATTTGACTTCAAATCAAAAGTAATTGGGTTTTGATATGCCTTGATGCCTTAAGGACTTTGCAAAGTTCAAATTACTAAATAAAGCACAAGCAAATGAGTGAAAACAACAAGGAAATCGTATAAACTTTTATTGGATTTAGAAGAAATGGCTTACATTCTTGGAGGCTATGGTTGCTTAATGAGTGAAGATGAACATGAACTGCTAAGAGGGATGACTGTAATATGTATAGAAAGTAAAAAGCTTACAAATGCAACTGGAAAGCTTTTATAAGCAAAGATGAGTACCGGAATTGCAAAACCTAATCGAACTCGAATTTCTAAATCAATTTGTTACAAATGATCATCCCATCTTCATATCTTCAGTGTCAAAATCTAAAGTATTGCTACCATTTATAGTGATGGCATGATTGCTCTTGATTGTGTGTGTTCACTTTGATTCTTCCTGTATCTTTAAATGGACCAATTCATTATGACTTCTATCTACCGCAAGAATCTGGGAAAATTACGAAAAAGTTTAACGCTTTTGAAATTGTGCAATTCGATCCCTAAGCCTTTTTCTTAGTTCAATCCTGCTTGGCACTATGATTATCTTGTTCGATCCATCCGTGGCTTTTGGCCGGCCGGCTGACGTGGCAGCCAAGTCGTCGGCTGACGTAAGGCCGGTCCGGCGTCACGTGGCATTTTAATAATTTTTTATTGTTTTTCAAATTATTTTTCTTTTTTTTTTTTTTTTCGCCTATCTTCTTCCCCGGTCGCCGGTCCGGCGACCGGCTGACCGGCGAGGCTGAGGCCGGCGAGGTCCACCTCGCCGGCCATGGGCGACCGTCGCTGGCGCCCGGCGACGGCGAGGCCGACCTCGCCATGACTGGGCGAGGCCTCGCCCGGCGACGGCGAGGCCGCCCAGATCTGGCGAGACCTCGCCGTCGCCTGGCCAGCCTCGCCGTCGCCGGGCGAGGCCGACCTCGCCATGACTGGGCGAGGCCTCGCCCGGCGACGGCGAGGCCGCCCAGATCTGGCGAGACCTCGCCGTCGCCGGGCCAGCCTCGCCGTCGCCGGGCAAGGTCGACCTCGCCATGGCCAGGGCGACGACGAGGTCGACCTCGCCAGATCTGGGCGAGGCCTCGCCCGGCGACGGCGAGGCCGACCTCGCCCTGGCCATGGCGAGGTCGACCTCGCCCGGCGACGGCGAGGCTGGCCCTCGCCAGTGCCGGCGAGGCCAGCCTCGCCCTTGGCCGGCGAGGTGGACCTCGCCGGCCTCAGCCTCTCGCCGGTCGCCGGTCGCCGGCGACCGGGAAAGAAGATAGGCAAAAAAAAAAAAAGAAAGAAAAAAAAAAATTCGAAAAACAATAAAAAAGTATTAAAAATTACTCACGTAATTTTCGGCCGCAGCAGCGTCAGACAACCGGCGTAGCGATCAGCTTCCGGCCGCAAAAGATGGCGGATGATTGAATGTGAACAAAAATTTAGAAGGTTCTAAGTAAAAAGGTTTAAGCTGAATTGCGCGAGGTTAAGGTAAGAAAGTTTTAGTAATTTCACCAAAATCTCTAACTGTCTCAACTTGCGCGCTTCAATAAGGATGATTTGTAACTTCTCTCGGTTCTTTAGTTACAATTATCCCACAATCGATGGATCCTTCTTGACTTGGTTTTCAACTTTTGTACATGATTCAAGTCGATCGATCTTTGCAACGTGTTACGTACTTCACTTTAACTCTACCCATTGGAAACTCATAATCGATGAGCTCATAATTTATTCCATCAATGGGCTTTGTAGGGCATATATATTGTCATGTCATTCATGATCAAAATGAACTTATTAGGCATCCTATCAATCGGATCTTATGGGTTAACTATATTGTCATGGCATGGTTCAGGCCATCAGTTTCTTTATGTTGGGGCTTGTATCAACATATATCCCCTTTTTTGACCCAGTGCTGATTGAGTAATGGGTGAAGTGCAATGGCATGTTCTATTTAGACAAAAACATATTTAAGCCTCGAAATCTCTGCCTTGAGTGCTTAAACCTTTGACAAAGTTCCTTCTCTCTTGATCACAAGGCCTAACTCTTCATCTCCTTCATTTCAAGTACTCAATCAATGGTTGCAAGCACGACTGATTGCTTCTGTGAAGCTTATTGATGGTAACTTCGCGCCAAATGCGATGGTGAACACACCAGGTGTGAGGAAAGGTCAAGGTCGAGGGTTTCAAGCAAGTTTCTACTACGTATTCTGATGAGAGGTCGATGATTACGTCGCTAAGGCCATTTTTGACCCGGATGCCATAGCAGTAAATGAAGCTCTGAGTAAGAAGTAAGCTTCCTCTTGCGATGTTGCTCAAGCTGATTTGGAGGAAGCTCTTGAGTAAGAAGTACTTCAGTACCACGAAGCTTCCTCTTGCGATGTTGCTCAAGCAGTTGGGTGATTTGGAAGGGTGGAGCACGTCAACGACTCGGTGTTCGGCCCCTGCTAATAGTCACTATCCGAATTGGTCGCTCATTCGATAAAGCAGAAGGGCCCGAGTTGGGCGAAATTGCCATACGCCCGTTGATAGAGAAGCAAGACTTCTAACTTCCATCTCTGCACTGGTGGTGTTCTGGTACAAGTGCTTCAACTACTTCATGTTTCCATGAGGCACGATGTCCATTACCCTTTGGCGATGTTGCAGCGCTCACAGGCCTGACTGTCCACGGCATTGTGGTTGACCCATCCTTCCAGAATCAGTTTGGCTACAACGAGAACGTCGACAACAATCCAACGATTTTGAAAATATTTTTTGGTTATTCATTTATTTCTACGAAAATATATTCAAAATCATTAATTTTTCGCGACACACTCTGTAAAGACACAATTCTCCTACTAAAGTGGCCTTTTTGCCATAAAAAATTATTCTTTCTCAATCTCTTGGGTGTCGGTTACAGGAATTCTGCAATCTTAGCACCTAGAATAACACCCACAAGGCATCACAATTAAGCTAAGATCAAACCAAAAATTAGAAAGAATTCACAGGTATATCCATGCAAATGCAACGCCACCTTATCATTGTTACCAAATGATGAAACAAGCTACACACACAGCCCGAGGCACCCATGAAATCACACGGGTAAAACCCGCGACTCATCTACATGGGCGTCTACCTGCTCGCCACGGTTATTAAGAGCCTCGAATGCCCTAGTGCAAGCGCTCGAGAATTCCATCAATGCCCGAAAAACGCGAGGCAGGCCATTTTTGAGGTGGTTCAGGGCCATGGCCTTGGTGACCTCGACCGAGTTCGCAAACTTGGCATTCTCATCGTCCACCCGTTTCTTCAAGGCCTCGATCTTCGCACGCTTCAGTGTTAGAGGATGATTAGGACCCAAATCCAAAGTCAAGTTGTCTGTGGAAAAGCCTCGCTCGAGCTTTTTCTCCATTTCATCCACTGAAGATGACTCTTTTTGCAACTTCTTTTCGAGCTTCTCGATTTTCTTTTGCAGGTCTAGCTCCTCAGCCTGTTGCAAAAGGATAGAGCGGACACCCAATAGAAGGCTCTTGATGGCATCTGAAGCCGGCTGCAAACAATAAAACAGAGAGAATAAATGCTGCCCATGAAGAAAAATATTGCAGACGATGATATACTCTGAAATGTCAGGATCATCTAGATTACAAGTTAACGGGAACTTCTTGATACTAGCTCGTCACACAAAATTTATTGTAGACTACTCAATAGTTAATATCCCGAGTTCCAACAAACAATCAATCATGGCCACTTCCATCTGGTACAATCAATATCAAGTTGACCATACATGTGATAAGCAACAAGAATGCTGCCAAACAAAGATATCTCAGCAGTAACCCACTGAGCGTTATATTTTACGATTTGTCACATTATCAAAATCTCAGTTCATTATAGAACATGAAACAAAAAAGTCAACTGTGAAAGAAATTGGAGAACTTCCGAAGCTCAAGCGTGCAGAGCCCCACAGCGTGAGATAATTGACATAAGAAACAATAATAGAAACTTCATGAAAATAGAAGAACCTATTGCCATCCACATTAAACCAGAAAAGAAGAGATAGAAGTAAGGAAAGATGCTCCGAAACAAAGTACGTATTTAACAGATGTCATACTGTACAAGAAAAAAATAGCAGACCATGTGTCCGAACATTGCCCGTACAACTGCAACCGTGACTAGATAATAACTATATAGAAGATACTACCAATGACCATGCCTTTGCCGGTGTCAAGCTTGGTTTTATTGTAGTCATAGCCAGCATTAACCATCCAAGAATCTATTACACATCCAGACAGCACATTTTACCACAATTGGCAAAGAAAACACCAAAAGAACGTGAACTATCAAGTGACTGTATCAGTTATCAATATACGGTTTCCAATCAGCCAAGTGATGGTGTAGTTCATTCTCATTCAAAATAAGCATTTCAATTCATGCATCAGATTCTAAATTAGTCATTGGCATGACAGGGTTATCAGGTTAATGGCACTACCTTATCAGGTACTCTGTCAAGGTGAAGCTGCCAATCCTCGCAAAGTGTACAAAGTGCAGAAGAGAAATTACTCTGGAGTTGATCATCCGCAAGGCAATCCGTCAATTTTAACCACCTGTAGAGTGTTCTGACATAACCTTTTTGAGATGTAACGAGCATGCAGAAGCTGTCGTACCATGATTCCACCTCAGTCTCGAGCTGTACTGCGGCCTGGCGATGGAAGTCTGAAGAAAGCTTTGTTACTTGATTCACTGAAATATGATTTAATTGGAGTGCAATATGGTTCTGAACTTTATGGCATCTATACATTGTTCTCCACATGTGCATCAGCCTGTAAAATCAAAATAAGATGGAGGCAGAAAAGTAGTGATGCCAATGTTAGATTCATATTAGAAACAGCAACATGAAAGCAAACACCAGAAAAGCATACCTAAGATGGCGTTATTGAAGGTTGCCATTGTGGCAACTTATACCATAATTAGTGAAACAAATGGACGTGCATAAGCTTACTTATTTATTTTATCCCAAAACATGAGATATTAAGTACGTTTTATGGTTTCTTGACTGTTCATCTTCCTATTTGCTTCATTTCTCATTTAATCCCACGTCACATCATCATTTCAACGGTGCAAAACTACACAGGAGTCTGAGTCGCAATCTACCTCCTTTTTTTTGACAACACATCATGCTATAACTACTTTAACTTTTGAGAGCTTATAACTATCATTTTCGATATGAATAGGGAACTCATGTAAAATCAATGCTTAACAACTTTTACCCAGAAGTTAATGCAACCAATTGAGGGTGGAGCTCCTCATCTATTAGAGTCAGAATTAGTGCACAAGTTCTACTAATGGATTGCTGCAGAATAACCAGGTCAGACTCCAGACCCTCCACAGTCAATCTGGTTTTGTCCGTCTTGGCCCAGTCATGGTTTTCATCTTCTTGCTTTTGCAGTAACAATAATTTTCTCTCGTACTCTAGCTTCGCATTTTCTTCTTCCTGCAGAACATATGATGGAGAGAAGAGCATTGGAGCGGGAACATGGAAAAAGCTAGAAAGTAGCTATTAATATGACAATCAATCATTTGCCATTGTAAATCATAACACATACATTTGGGAGAAAAGTTATTTGCAGTCCTAGTCCACTTGATGCAAAATTAATCATGTCAGGACCATGTTAATAAGGTAAGTGCAAACAGAAGCATGTCTCTGCCAACACTTAATCTCAACAATGACAATGCTTTATTGACATTTACATTCAGGACCACTTTAAAATGAATTTGTTATGACCAAATCTTTAAGCAAAATCATCGAAGTCCTGTAGTGTAATGGAAAATTTCTATAGAAAACCATGCATATACACTTAAACTGCATTCAGGTAAAGAGATCAAAATTTCCAAGTTCAAGTATCAACATCCAAACTTACACCAAGATCACGTGCTTATACACTTCACTTGTGCTTGAACTTGATTAACATAAATGAATATCAACATGTGTAACAACATTCTCCTACTGCAACTGCCAATTCACACTTCCAATTTAACCTGTGACGCCTAGATCACAGCACTATGTCAAATTGACAAAGGATCACTCACAAGCTTAATCAACTTATCCAGATTAAACTAATGTGCTCATCTACATAATTGCTACTTCTTGACCTAACAGTATGCAGGGTTATTAGGTTACATTAATAGCAAGGAGAAAATTTTGAATTCGCGGTTTAACATGGGAAAGTACATTCTTATCCCACATGTTCAGGCCACTGGATGTTAGAACTCGATATCAAATATTTCACAACCATGCTTTAACTAATGTGGGACTTTCTGAGAAATGCATAAGCATGACCAAACGAAAAAGTTAAGCATGCACATACAGAAATGTCTACGACTAAGATATCGATCCGCCTATATTCAGAAAATTTTCCATATAAAATCAAATTATAGAAATGTTCCATTATGATTCCAAGGTGTTGGTGATTCTGATATGGTCAATACGATCCTGACTTCTCACTGTTGATCCCGATTCTTGTTATCCTAGTCTGATTGTCATATTCCTACTAACTAGATGGGGCCTTACTTTTAATTCTGGAGATCTATAAAATGGGAGAAAATGCTTGACTTCAATGAGGCAAGATGCCCCATTTTTAAGTGGCACTCTTACTAGAGACTGGAAAAGAAACTGGACAGGTACAGTAATGTGAAGTATGAAAGAGGCAACAGACACCAGTCATAACTGCACAGAGAAACATCTTTCATATACAATAAGGCCATAATTATCTTGAAAATGAGCACAGCCATTTACCTCTCTAGCTAAGCTTTAATTGTACACTATTCAGTATATATCTGAACGGCTAGAATCACATATAGGACATCTTCTCAATAAAATTGGAGAGCAATCATGGACAAAATCCTACCTTTAAGTATTTATAAAGCTTATGCTCTGCAGTGAACAAATTTTCAATTGTAATCCGATGAGCACCCGGCATGCAGGGTTCACTAGGACCAGGACACTCAGCAGCATCTCTCGTAAGCTGAAGCGACTTAGAGGACCAGTTCCACGAAAGAGCACTCACAACCTTAGCAGAATTGCTTCTCTTCCCTGTACAAAGTTGAGTTACTTTTAAGCACCTACGGGAAAATTAAGCAAACGGTAGGTGATGGTAGAGCAAGCAATAGACTTGGAAAGTAATGGAGGCAGAGCAGAACTAGCTTAAATTGTACTGGACACAGAAACCTCAGATCTAGTTGAAAAAGATTAATCCAAACTAATCCAGCTAATTAAGGAAATTAGGGTCAAAATATGAGACTCAAGTTTTAAGTAATTATAGCAACATGGACAAAGACTTGAAAGCGTGAGCTTCCTATTTTGAAGTGTACATGCTCTGGTCAACCAAACACACTAGAATATATTAGGGAACCAATTATATGCTGCATCACATGACTAGAAACACGCTGAAAGTAAGATACAAATCCAAGACAAATCGAAGTCAAAGGGAGTAATTGAGGAAAACTCTCGACAGATAACAGCAAAATAAAATTCACTAAACGTCAATATACTCAGTCAATCACATCAAAAGTCCACTACTTGTTCTCTCTATGTTATGGCCTCAAGATTCAGAGGAATGACCCATCTTTGCTTAAGAATCTTCGTTTGTGAAAGAGTTTCACACCAAAACGACAATAAAAACACAAAAGCAAAAATCCTTTTGCATGCTGTATCAGATTTGAGCAACAACAGGCCTTATTGAAATAGCTGAACAACATCAAACTCATCAGAAACAGGAACCCGCACAAATCTAAGCAGACTTAAGCTCTACAATCACATCAAAATGACTATTGAACTGCAAGGGGAAAAGAGGCAGAATCCAGTAAGAAAAATATCAAATAAAAAGAATTAGCATCCAAATATGGTACTTACTCTTGTGTTCTTTTGTTTTCTTGGGTGGGAAACTATCCCATGAATTGATGTCCACAAGAATAGCTATATCCCCACCAAGAGCTGATGCTTCCAGAAAATACTCATCCAAGTTCTTCACAATACCCTCCAAGGACTTCTTGCTTTTCCAAACTTCCATGGTCATATCAGCACTTTCCTTACCGTTCCAGCTCATCTGCAATGAAGTATCATCAACCAACTCCACAGGTTGTTCCTTCTTGGGCAAGAGATCTACCGTCCCCCTTTCCAGAGTTTCCTCTATCCCATCTTCTCCCTCAAACTCCGTTTTACTCTCCACCCAATTCTCCTCATAGTTCGCTTCCATTGCCGCTTCATTCTTTCTCTCGTGCAACAGCAAAGAAGCCTCAAAAGGTTCCCCTAATTTCCAGGATGAGACAGGGAAAGGCGGAGGAGGCGGGGCGCAAATAAAATCCTCATCGATCTCTATACTTTCTTCTTTGCTAGTAATCTCTTCCTTACTTTTATTGGGCCTCCTAATATCCGGACTGAAAACCGGAGGAGGTGGAGGTGATAGAGGCAAAGGGGGAGGAGGAGAAGGAGGCGATGCCAGGCCGCACGAAGTGTTCTCGATTTCCAACGATTCCGACTCAGTGAACTGCCGGAGCGTCGCTCCCGTGTTCTTCAGTGCTCTTAAGTAAGCCAACAGGGCATCAGCAAAATCCTCCCTAAACACCAGCAACTGCTTCATCAGCCTCTTTCTCTCCTTGCACACCCGAACCCTCTCTTCTTCATCAATTCTCGAAGCGACACAACCCATTAGTAATAATCCAATATTGCAATTCTAGTCGGGGTTCACCTACATTCACCAATTCAAGGTCTTGAAGCACGCTAGGAGAAAGTCACTGCCCTGAACAGACCACATCCCATAAATTTTGCTCAGCTCACGCTGATTTCAAGAACCAAGAACCAAGACCCAGTTCCCAACCCAGAATGCTATTCGCATAGATCACGGTTCCCTCACCAGATTCCGCTCCCTTCTAAGTAACAAGCGCCACAACAACCAGAACAATCTATATTCGAATTCCTTTCTCGAACACGGAAAGTACAGCCGAATGAGCTAAAGGACCTTCCCAGAGAATATCCCAAAATTCTAAAACACAGAAAGTCATGAGCATTATCCAGAAAAAGAATTTCCCAACAAGCCGACGACCCACCTACACCTTCAAGATCGCTTGAATTCCCACTCAGCTACGAACCATCTCGACCTCAAAACGCAACCCACCCAAGATCCAGAAATCCTATCCGAAAAATGTATGCAAAAAAAATAAAAGAAAAAAGAAGAAAAAAAAGCCGACCTCCTCCTCTTGCTCACTAAGAGGGAACAGAGAGAGCAGCAACAACGACGGAGCACTACCAGAAAGACCCAGAAAAGAAACAGGGAAAGAAACAATATCCAGCTGCTCCAGAGTCCACCAGTCCAGAGAGAGTACTCTTCGCTCTCGCCAGACTTCTCTGCTCAGAGCAGACACTCTGACAATGTACTATTTAATCCCAGAATAATGAAGAAACCCATAAAAAAAATAATAAGGAACAGAAGAAGGTGAGGACAAGAAGAAACGTTCGTCAGAGTCCTGACCTGCAAAATGTCCGACGAGGACCGCTGTCTCTTCCTCGCTCGCTTTGCTTTTTTCGATTTCCTCAACGAAAAGAAGGACCAGATGGGTTTTCTTTAAGCATTTTCTTATCTCCTTCCCCCCGTCCCTTTTCCTTCAGAGAATGTGGCGTCCCCAAAGGGGAATCGCTGACTCGAGGACCAAGAAGAAGAAGAAGAAGAAGAAGAGGAGGAGGAGGAGCTGGGGGCCCGATCAAGAAGAAGAAGCAGAAGCAGGTATCCAAAGCAATTCGAGGAGGACAACTTGGAAGAAACTTTCTTTCATTATTTTTTCCATTATTTTCGGTAACGATGGTACCATACTATTACTAGGAAATGTCGGTACATAGGATAGGAGATGATGTACTCATGTAGCATCATCCTCAGCAAGTTCGGTTGGCGACCCTCGTACTTTAAACGGACGATATTACCCTCCGAGAGAGACCATTAGGTTGGCTAGGAAATTTCCTTTTCGATTTTTGCTAGAGGACAAGAACAACCAACCACACACCCCTCTTAAATAACAAATTTCCTTTTTTTCCAACCCTCGTCCCATCTTTACTATTCATTATCCACTCGCGTGACAGTCTGAACCGCTTTCTATAAAGAAATGTTAAATTTATCTGCACATTGTTCATTTTATTTCCCCCCTAGATTCTCTCCTTCATGATCGTGAATATTTCGACTCCGATTCCTCGTGCAATTTAATGAGATTTTACTTGAAGATCGAATATCGTGTTTGATCTGAACATTATACACGGACCATTGTTCTTGTTATCAGTTTAGAGAATTCGATCCTTACAATTATATGTACAAGCGCGAAAAGTCTGGAAATGGCCCCGTTAAGGTCACAAACAATTTAATATATTTTGCGTTTCGTAATGGCTAAAACTTGTCATTTAATTTTGAAAGTTGGCTCATCTTTCGTTGTATTATTTTTTTGTAGGGCAATCACTATGGAAGGCAATATTCAAGAGGACTCAAATTGCTTGAATGTATTTATTGACAATGAAGATGCGAATGGAGAAGAGCAGTCATCAATCATATAATAATGACGTGAAAAACAAATAAAAAGGACTATTAAATTCACTAGAAAGAATGAAAGTTGAGCGGTTAAAGTATGCGCAATATAGCGTAATGACATATACTAAAGTTTCAATTAAACCAAATGCATTCAATAATACTAATAGACTATTCTTTTCACTCTTACTTGTGCTCATGTTATGTTTAAAATAGTGGTTTCGTGGTATAATATACAACTCATTAACACAATAACTCATTAGCTATTTGCCAAATAAACTATTTTTTTTTATAAAAGAGGGACACCATTTTCATCCCAAATGGAAAGAAAAACAAAAAAATGAAACCAAACAAAAAGAAGGAAAATGTAAGAAATAAGCCAAAAGTAAGAGTGAGCCCCAAAATTAACCTCGTCATCATGCCGGTAGAATCATATCGAATATTTTTAAGTTTCAAAAGCATGCTAAAGTGTTACCCGCAAGGAATAATGTGATCAATACAAGATGGTGGGGGGTGTCTACAGTTAAATATGAGGTGGAAAAGTGCGAGCCATATTCTTAGTATCTAAGATCGGGTGAAATACTAGAAAGGAACCCGTGCACAGGAAGATGTGAATATATGAAATCTCAATTAAATAATCTTTCGGAATTTTATATTATGAATTTTAGATTCATGATTCCGTCACTATCTAAGTCTAGTATGTTTCTTCTGGTTATATATTCAAAAAAAAAGTAAATTGTCATGCTCCAACAAAGAAAGTACATGTTTTTGCCAAAGTTTAACTTCTGGCACTCATAATATACCACTTTATTTTATGTCAAATCACATATTATCCCACTATGGCTGACCATTTAAAGACAGACCACATGATTTTCCTCTAAATTCATTGATTTTTTTATTAAATTGGCTACTTAATTTTGTTTAGTTTTTTTCAGATAATTAAGTGACAACTACATAGTTATTGAGATTTATGAAAAACCAAGAATATCCAGGTGACTTTTTTTTTGGTCGAAAGAATATCTAGATGGTGAGTTAAAAGAAAAGTTACAAATCGCTATAAGTTCAGTAGTAACCCCGTTGCATTGTGATTTCTTGGTAATTTTTGTTGTAATTTTATCGACCCTTTTGCTTTCGACGACATCAAATCCACACATGCATGAAGCTTGATAATAAAAACAATTAGTTACGAACTGTACTATAGTGGAATATTCAATCCGTAAATGTACTTGAGTTTAACTTAATATACTTGGCATGTAAGAGGCTTTGAAAACTGTTCATAGTAAACTATTCTAACATGAAAAGGAAAAAGAAAAATAAACAGCGGTTCCGTTTGTTTCGCAAAAAATAAATAATTTAAAACTATTTTCCAACAAATGATTGATTATATTATTTAGAATAATTAGTCAATAAAAATATTATCATTATCGACAATAATTTATGTCTAAAAAATTGAGTGGATAATGAAAATATTTTTTATTCATTTATTTTTTAAAATTATTCAAGTGATCATTTTTTAGAAAATATTTTTCAAATTATTTGTTTCCGCGAAACAAACATACCTTGCATTGGTTTTTTGTTTTCGAAGAATTCGATAATGCTACAGCCATATTGAATTGAAGGAAATGAAACTTTGGACACCATACTCGTACAATTGATCACTTTACATTATTTGCTATAATAATCATATTGTTTCAAGTGTGAACATTAGCACATATCGTTAGTTTGAATGGACCAACTATGAAGTAGTGATCTGGTCCATTGGAATATCGATTATATTTATTAAAGCAGTGCTACTACTGATTATTATTGTCGGAACACCATTTTGCAAATGCTGACTAAAATTAAGAAGTAAGGAAAGTGTGAGACTGAAAGAAATTTGAAAAAAAAAATAGAAAAACAAAGATGCCTCAGACTTCCACCCATTTTGAAACTTAGCAGGAAAGGAAGAACACATTGCACGTAAAAAGTAAAAAAAGGGGAAAAAAAGAGGAAATCACTTCCACTATGTATTACAGAAAATACTTTATATCACCAAGTCTTGTCTACTTTTTACTTTTTCTTTTAAAAAAACGAAAAAGGCAAGCAATTCACTCAAAATGCCACATCACTCATTATCTATTCACACCTCATCATGACTATGTAACCAAGGATACTTGGTTGGCAAGACGATTACATAGTTGTTGTGCGAAGCACAGGTCAACCAAACATGAGCCGAAGCTCTCCCGTATCACCCCAAACGCAAGCAACTATATATGCCTACCCGATGATAGCCAGCTCTACCTTCTCTACTCATAGGCCCCTCAGTTTCCTCCCGTTGTTTTTCTAAATACGGAGAGAATTTACGAGGAGATCCCTCCACCATACCGAGAAGTTCCTTCCCCTGTCTCTCCTTGAGTGTTTCAAGGACCTACTCATGTCCAAACTTCCACTATGTATTATAGAAAATAGAGAAAATAACATAAACAGTCCATGAATTTTGACTCAATGTGCAATTTGGTCCCTGAACTTTTAATTTGTTTAATGTAGTCTCTGAACTTTAACCCAATATTCAATGTGGTCCATGAGCTTTAACCCGATGTTTAATGTGGTCCGTGAACTTTTGGTATATGTTCAATATAGTTCTTGAACTTTATAAAAATATTCAATGTAGTCCTTCAATTAATTCAAGTTCAAGGACTATATTATACATTTTCATATAATTCAGGGACTAAATTAAACATGTATAAAAATTTCAGGGACCACATTGAACAAACTAAAAATTCAGGGACTACATTGAATATTGGGTTAAAGTTTAAGGACCACGTTGAACAAGTAAAAATTTTAGGGACCACATTGAACAAATAAAAAGTTCATGGACCAAATTACCAATTGAGTCAAAATTCAGTGACTATTTATGTCATTATGCCTAGAAAATAATTTATCTCACAAAGTCTTGTCTATTTTTTACTTTTTCTTTTAAAAAACGAAAAAAGCAAGCAATGCACTCAAAATGCCACATCACTCGTTATCTATCCACACCTCTTTGAGGGTTGACACTTTGGGAATTATCAATTGAGAATATCTGTTTTCATTCAAGCCGTATGAATCTCTGTGTTTTTTGCACAAGCTCGAGGTGGGAAAATGGACTCGAGCCAAGAAGGGGACACTTGCTTTTTGGGCCAAACAATGGGCCACACATTGCATAGCAGGCTCTCGATCTTTGCTTCCCCAAAATCATTACTCTTGAGAGAGAAACATATCTCCAAATGGAACATCAACGTGGGAATGTGATGATGCTATGATTTAAATTCAAAGATATCACCAATTGACCCGCACCCTTAAGGAAAATGTGATTAATTAGATAACAATTTGGCTCTCTCTCCTCTTTTGACTACCAAAATCATGTAATATTGTGACTGTTGTCGGCACTCATTGCTAATGTTGCCAAGCAACGTGTCGACACCGGCAGTCACAAAAACATCTATACTTCTGTAGGCCACTCGGTGTTAAAGGATGAAGAGAGATTGAGGATTAGGAAGGACCGGTTGGACGATTAAGATTTCCCAAGCGTGAATTCCATTTCATAGATAGATGGTTGGAGGATTGAGTATGGACATATTGAATCCTATTGTAGTTTCTTTTTTTGAATATTAAATGTGTAATTTTATTTTTTCCACATAAAATTGACAGTCGGATTAGGGTAGCAATATGGCTTTCAACAGACTCATCTTTACGAGTATGACGCATTTATGATGTCTAAAATGCGTTTTATGCGTTGTATATTATCGGTCAAATTTTGATCAAATCTTGGTCAACCCTAGGTCAAAAAATAATTGTCTATACCATAGAAACATCAAAATTGAATCTCGTGTTAGATTTCGCTCAGTAGACATCGTTTGTCATTGCAAGTTTTTGTCCTTTAACCTCTACTTATAATTTGTAGCAAGGTAAAATTTTTCCAACAATAATAATTGTCTACAGAGAGAGTTGTAATTAGCATCTTTGGCAACAAAAAAAAAACCCCCATAATTTGCATCGCCATTAATCTACGAAGTGTCTGAAATTGATATTAAAAGTAAATACAAAAAAAATGATAAGAGATTAACACTCTCCTGAGGGAATGAATCCTCTAAACAAAGTAATGAGCTAGCATATAAAACCAAAACGAGAAAAGAGGGAAAAAAAAAGAAGAGAAACCAAAACAAGGTAAGCTAGAAAAGACTTAGCGGTAGTTTGGAGAACTGTTTCTCTCCCAAGAGTAAGGAAAATGCTATGATTCTCCTA